ACAAATTTAATATTCTTAAATAATAATTTTTATTGTATTTTACAATAGTAATATCCTACATGCTGCACATGTTTTACAGCAGTGACCCTACTGAAGACCACACGACACCAAATGAGGGGTCTYTAGATGATTCAAATATATTTGCTACTAACAGTGTTTAGTATGATTATAACAGGTAAGAAAAAGGAAAGACAAACAGAAATAGTATCATAGATTCATTAACTGTGTCCAGTTAAGGCTGAGTCACACTACAAGATTTTAAACCAGCCGGCTGATTTTCAAAGACTGACAAAGCTCACACGTGAGGATAACAAAATCATGGATATACCTGGTTTGGTCCTACAGTGTGTGGTGTATAGACACACGGCAAGAGACAACACACCACACACGTAAGGATATTTCATTCATGTACATTCAGATGTCAGATATTAAATCACGCGAGATTTCCTGAAATCTTGCGAGAATTCAGATGTCTGAGGAAAAACATCACGTGACCTCCAGAGAGATTTAAGTTCAGAGTAAATAACCATTTGCAACAAGGAAGAAACAATGTTGATTGTTTGTGGACTATTTTTACCAGAGGAAAAACAATTCCATAGGACTTTTAACATCCAACTGACTTTCTTGTGAGTCATGACAGTTTTTTTGTACTCTGTATTTTGGAATCCCCTTTGTGTTTATGTCACCTTGCTATCTGATTGGCTGCACGTCTCATTCAACAGGCTGAGAGCTCGTTTGTTCTCGGGTGAACGTCACACACACTGTGATATCGGGCCAAAAAATCAAACATGTTAAATATCCCAGATTTGAGGTCGGAACGGTCCTGACGTCCTTCCAAGCTGACTAGATCACTCTTAACTCACCATCCACGGTAGGAATATCTGCTCAGATTATCTTTAGAGCCATCACGATAATCTGGACTTCCTTAAGGTGTATCTTACCCCTCCACCCCCGTAAAAAGATAACTCCGCCCCAAGGCGAAATTTGAAAAATGCATCAAAGTGGGTAGGGGAGGGGGTGTGGGTGGGAAAGTGGGGGTTAGAGAACGGAGGTGTGGCCAGGGGCCAGGACAAGAGAAGTCAGCTGCGGACATGAAAGCGCCTGCTGCGAAGCAGGAGGAAAGGAGAGAGGAAAAGTAACTTATTTTTAGG